TATGACTTTAATCTCATAATATTATGACTTTAATCTCATAATATTATGACTTTAATCTTGTAATGTTACAACTGTAATCTCATAATATTATGACTTTATTTTCATACGACTTTAATGTCGTAATATTATAACTTTATTCTTGTAATTTAAAAAAATCTCATTGTGTGGCCATAATACTCCGTCGTAGATTTTGTATTATTATAATATTGTAAACCACTGATTTTCATCTTCATTTTGTTTATGTAATTGTCTTGATGTATGGCTTTGATTCAAAGAAACAAACAAAAAATAACATAGAATAACAAGAAAAAGATCAAAGAAACCAGAATTCAATGATAGAAAAAATGTTTCTACAAGGGGGGAAGAAAATCATACATTTTGATCAGTTGTCTCAAAGTGTAAAAATATAGCATGTGTTCTTATACTCATTTACCTGTTCAGATCTACCACAAGTTAATAACAATATGTGACTGTTTGAGTGATGTGAGTCATACAACACCCGTCGACACAGCTGTGGACTGATCAGTGGTTTATTCYGCAACCTCCAGCTAATCCGTGCCCCCAAAACCAGGAAATACACCTTGAGTTACCATCGTCTTCATGTCCTGACCCCGCCTCATGACAGTGTCTTAAAGGGGCAGACTATTTTTACACCGAGTCAAGACATCATACATTTATTTCTCATCACTAATGTTCAATAGCAGCTTTGTTATGTGTAGTAAGTGTTAAACCAGTCATATATCCAATTAAAGCCTCCTGAGTCTGTGAAACCCTCATCAAGAGCCCCACAACCCAGTCTGGACATAAAATCATTACTTCAAGCAGAAATATTCACATTAGAGAAAGATATTACTGTTCCCCTAAGAAAAAACTATACTATGTAAAGTGTCTTTAAAAATCAGTGGATAAACAAAACCTAATAAATTTCTTTGATTGCAAACTGCCCAAAGCATCATATGCTTATTTTGTTGTATTTAAAACCTTTTAATTATTCACTTTAATGTCTGATACAAAAGAATGAATGTCACAAATTGTAATATTGAATGTTGATTAGCTTTAAAACCAAGTAAATCCCCTTTTTTAAATCTACCGTATCACTTGTGTACAATTCATATTTGCGCTTTCTTCAGGGTCTTCTGGATGGACGGTTTGAAGTAGTGATCAGCACAGGGGTCCTGGGCAGAGGACTTGACCTGGTCAACGTCAGATTGGTGGTTAATTTCGACATGCCAAACACAATGGATGAGTATGTTCACCAGGTTCGTCAAACAGATCGCCTAATTCTTTGTTGGCTACAAATGAATAACGAGATCTTTAAATTACAATGCACAAATCTGGTTGAATGTGTAAACTTTATGCTCAGAGATTCAAGACAAAATGGTGAACCTCACGTTTAATAAACCTGATAGTTGTATTAATGCCATTTCCCCTCTTTCAGGTGGGCAGAGCAGGAAGACTGGGACACAGGGGAACAGCCATCACTTTTCTTAACAACAACAACAAAAGGCTTTTTCTAGGGGTGGTGAACAGAGTTAAACCCACTGGGTCCATTCTGCCCCCTCAGCTCCTAAACTCACCCCACCTTCATGAACAGCAGAGGAGGGAAAGACAGAAAAACAAGAGTGGATCTGACGACACACCGGTGACCAAGAACAACCTCCTAGACATCATAAAGAAACATGATCGTCGCAAGAAGTAGACAGTTTTTCTAAATATTTTTACAGTGGTGTTTTTTGTTTTGTAAATAAATAAATAAAAAGTTAATAAAATATTTTAATTTTCTGAGGTTTGAAAAATTATTTTATAAAACATCACATCCACCCAAGTCAGTACATGCAGAGTTGTAAAGTAACTAAGTACAAATACTTTGTTACTGTACTTAAGTAGAAATTTGGGTTATCTGTACATTACTTGAGTAATTATTTTTTCAGCCTACTTTTTATTTCTACTCCTTACATTTTCACACAATTATCTGTACTTTCTACTAGATACATTTAAAAAAAAAGAAGTAGAAATTCATTACTCCTATTTCATTCCAGCTGGTTTTTGTTGTTGAATTTTGTCTCCTGGATAGAGTTAATTTAATTGTAGTAAAGGCCCTGTCGCACTATGGCGTTTTAGACATCATAACTTATGAAACTTATAAAGACATCAACGCTGAAGATTGACATTTAAAAAATTGGACCGGAATTCTTGTTCAGGCATGTACTTAGTGTAATGCAAACAAACTGATCAAATAATAAATTTTATTTGTCATTTTTACATTTAAAAACTTATAAGTTGACCTTCAGGTGAGAAGTATAAATAACTAGTTTGTACAATCCATCACAGCTGCACGTCTTCAGAAAAGTTTTTCATTTAATTTTTAAATATTTTATTTTATTTTTTATTTGGAGAAGTCATCTCCCAATAAATGCCATTTTGGAAAATCTAATTCCTCCTTTTCACTCAATACTTTTACTTTTAATACTTAGTGTATACGTAGTATACTTAACAAATATGATACTTTAATACTTTTACTCAAGTAATATTCTTAGAGCAGACTTGAACATTTATCAAAGTACTTTTATGATAAGATACTTGTACTTTTACTCAAGTATCACTTTGAGATACTTTATACAGCACTGAGTACATGCAACCTATTTTATTTATTTTTATTTTTTGACAAACATTTTATTTATTTTAAGTAATTTTTGTGATGTCGGTACTATCTAAATTTGAGTCATTTAAAAAAAATGCATATATATTCAACCTAAGGCCCAATGTTACCACTAAGAAAACGTTTCAAATCTTTGATGAAATTTTAGTTTGAACTATTTTTAATGAGAAAAATATTTTTTAAATGAATTTTGCCCGTTGGAAGTCATTTTTAGCGAAATAATATAAACCTTACTACAGAAATTCGGTGGCTATAAGTGAGATTTATAAGAATAAATCTTATGGTCACCGAATTTCTGTCATTTACTTGAGTGTAGCTGATGTAAGCATTTTAACGTTTGTGCTGCCATCTAGTGGTAATTTAGTATACTTGCGCGTCTCGGCCAATGTGACGCAAACACGTCAGGAGCTCAGCCAATCAGGAGCCTAGGACGAAGCCGATTTGAAATTGTAGCGGGCGAAGGCGGAAGCGATCGGGAGAAACAATAACAAGCACAAGACGCTGTGTGTATTATAGCTATTATTTTATCCAAATGGATTTACGCTCACTTTAAACTAATACTGCAAGTCGTAATTGTCTCGGTTTATTGTTATTTTAAATACGATAGGACATCCGTATTTCAGTTGCCGTTATTCCGCTAGTCTCCAAAATCATCATGTCTATATTTAGCGTACAAGCGAGGAAACATACAGCGTTTTATGACCATTTAATGTCAGCACCAATGTCCAAGACACCCGGGAGAGAGCGACCAGCAGCGCTAAAGGCAACTGAACTGGGAAAAGGCGAGATATCAGGTGCAGAATCTGCGAGCGAAGTCAGCAGGTTGTCTGAGAAAAGTCGTCCTGTAAACAGAACTTACGTCGTGTCTGCCGTGTCAAAAAGCGGCAGCGGGCAGCAGACTCCTTACAGAGGCCGACCGGCCTTGCAGAGGAGGTCAAGGAGGAAGACTGGGGCTGAACGAAAGACAGAGGAAACGGCGACTGAAAGCAGCCAGAACACCACCCCGGCTCCAGAGAAGAGGCTGACTCTGCAGCGCAGGACCAGGACGCCCTCCATGATGGATAAAAGCTCGCGTGGGCAGCGTGGGGTCAGCGCTACCGGTCAACAAGCGACCCCTAAAGTCCTGGGTGAACCAAACGGCAGGACCCCTGGTTTATTAAGATCAGCGAGCTTAAGAGACCCCAAAACGTTTAAAGTAGCAGAAGCTCAGGTTAAACCCTCTTCATCTTTTCCAGCCAGGCAGCTTGTTGAGGACGGGGATCAGACCTTTAAAACTCCCACCAAGAAGACACCGTTTGGGAAAATCGCCGCCAGGAGAGACGTATTTGAGAAAATGGCCAGTAAAGAACCTCCGAAACCGGTGGCGCTCAAGTCTGGGAGCATGGAAAGACCCAAAGCCCGAGCTCAGCAGTCTGGAGACGCCAAAGCTCATCCTGTACCTGCTCCACGGGTCAGCAGGGCCCTGACAGGCGTGCACAAGCCCAGCACTGCGGGGCAAGAGAGGAAGACAACCAGCTCCAGCGCAAAGCCAGAGGTGACCGTGGCCAGGACATCCACTGAACACTCTCTGATCCAGCAGCAGGATTCCTTTAAGATGGAAAACAGTGCAGTGGCTGTGGCTGTCAGGGTCCGGCCTTTCAGTGCCAGGTTTGTCATCAGATTGTTTACTTCACAAGACAAAACAAAAAACTTAACAATGGCAATCATAGGACCTTAGCACTCAGCAGGTTTTTGTTTTTTAGCAATTAAATTGTGTAGGGATCCTCACTTGTGCAAGAAAATATTAAACAGTTAACTTATTCTGATACTTTTATCGCTGAAAGTGTTCTGCACTGTTACAGAGAGAAAACAGAGAAGGCCCCCCAGGTCATATTCATGAACGATCAGGAGACCGTTGTCCAGCATCCAGAGTCCAAACAGAGCTACTCCTTCACGTATGACTTCTCCTTCTGCTCCGTGGATGAGGGTGACCCCGGCTTCGCCAGCCAGAAGACGGTTTATGAGACGCTGGCCAAACCTCTGCTGCTGAGGGCCTTTGAAGGATTTAACACCTGCTTGTTTGCTTACGGCCAAACAGGCTCTGGGAAATCATACACGTGGGTGTTTTTGTAATTCCCTGCATCATGTTTGTCCCATCCATTATGTACTGATTGAAAAAAAATGGTTCTTTTGCAGGATGATGGGCTTCGAAGAAGAGGCAGGGGTCATCCCTCGTTTCTGCCAGGAGCTGTTTGTGAAACTGGCCTCCATGGAAAACAAAGAGGTAGAATATCACATCGAAGTGTTCACTATGTAACCCATCGCTTTTTTCTATAACTGATCAAAAACTGTTTTGTAATTTTTCACATTTTAGGTTACGTGTCACATAGAGATGAGCTACTTCGAAGTGTATAATGAGAAGATCCATGATCTGCTGGTGATCAGAGAGGAGCCAAACCAGAGGAGGATGCCAGTTAGTATTTACTTACTGAATGAAAATTACTCTTGAATGCTAGTAAAATGAAACCCAGTACTGTATTTTATTTACATATTGGGTATATTGTTTGTAGAGAAAATATTTTTTACATTTTTTTCCCTCTTGCTTTTAGGCCTAAAATAACTTGGAGGAACAATACAAATTTTTTTGTTTTTCTCTTTTAGCTGAGAGTCAGGGAGCATCCCGTCCACGGTCCGTATGTTGCTGACCTTTCTACGTAAGAAAAAATAAATAAAATAAAAAAATTACAAGCCAGGAAAAAAAAATGGGACAAAATGTTAAACAGAAGGACTCATTTTGTTATTTCTTTTCAGAAATGTGGTGAGCTGTTACAATGATATTAAGGTGGGTGAACTCACTGCTAATTTCCCCTTTTGTCCTCACGTTTTTTAGGTTTAAAGGGGCAATATTATGTGTTTCTCAGGCATATATTTCAATACTATACTATAATAAAGTATCTATGTCACCTTTAGCTGTTATTAAAATTCTGTTTTTAATGTTTAAATAGAAAATAAACTTATCTTCTCATCACTTCTTCTCCTAAACACCTTGAAATAGGCCTCTGTCTCTTTAGGTACCACCTTCCGCTTCGGTCCCACCCATTTCAGCACGCGGGGGTGTGTGTGTGTGGGGTGGGGGGGGTGGGGGGTGTGTGCGCTATCATGCAGTTTACTTGGCATCTGAAAATACATTTCCTCAAAGGTATTTTGAATCTGAAAAGGGCTTCACTGAGTGAGCAGTAGTGTTAGGAGCTCAGCAGACAGTTTAAGTTTCACTTTCAGTTTCACCAGTTGTTTGCTTTGTTGCTGCTGAGACCCTGTAGGAGTCATGGGCCGAGTGTGTGAGGTGGAGGGTGGGGAAGTGTGCTCCATGATGAGGAAGCTTGGCTTGGAGACACAGCCCAGAGGCGGAGCTGGTTCCAAAAGGCGGTTCTAGTCCCAACCTGTCGTTTTTGCTCCCCTGCCTGGCTGCCTCAGGACACTACAGGATTTCTCAAACATGCATGAATGAGTCAAAGCAAGACTCTGGGCATGTTTTTGATGAGAGATAAACATTATAACATGATATAAAACTCAAAAAAGTTGATTTTTACATGATATAGCCCCTTTAAATGAGAAAATAATGTTATTTTTAGGGCTGGCTGGAGCTTGGGAACAAGCAGAGAGCTACGGCAGCAACGGGAATGAACGACAAGAGCTCCAGGTCTCACTCGGTCTTTACCCTGGTTATGACTCAGATGAAGGTAGAAATATATATTTTTAATTTCACCGTTTACTCGTGTCTTCGTTTGCCCCACATTATTTTAACCGAGATGTGTGTGTCTGTGTTTTCAGACCGAGTTTGTGGAGGGAGAGGAACACGACCACAGCATCACCAGCAGGATCAACCTGGTCGATCTGGCTGGCAGCGAGCGCTGCGGCTCAACCCAGACGAGTGGAGACAGACTCAGAGTGAGCATTTCCAAACAGTGATTGCCAGTTTCTCTGCTTGTTGCATTTTTTATTGTGCTTCTTTGTTTTATTTCTATTTATTACACAAAGGATAATTTGTGCAAGTTATAGCAGCTTTTTTTTCAGGTCAGGCTTTTCTTTGATTGGCCAGAAAACTGCAATAGGTGCAGCCCTAATGAAGCCACTTCTCTGTTACAGGAGGGTGCTAGCATCAATAAATCCCTGCTAACACTTGGAAAGGTCATCTCTGCTTTATCGGAGCAGGTACTGACCAGGAAGCAGGTTTTCATACCGTACAGAGAGTCTGTTCTCACATGGTGAGTTTGGACACAGTTTTTTTAGACCTTTTGCTTTTATGAAAATGAACCAACAATTCCACAAACAAAACATAGTTTTATGCAGTTTTACCAGATTTGTCTGTGATACTGATCGACATTTTCAGTCCAGAAAAAATACAAAACAATCCCAGGGCTTTGGAAATAGATTATTGTAAATGAAACTAATTGGAAATGTAAACATATTAAAAGAACAGAGATTGTTTTCTTTTTATGATCACATTTTAATTTGATTTTTATTCCGGAGGTTATTGAAAGAGAGCCTCGGCGGCAACTCCAAGACGGCCATGATCGCGACCGTGAGCCCAGCGGGCAGCAACGTGGAGGAGAGCCTGAGCACCCTGCGTTACGCTCAGCAGGCCCGCACCATCATTAACGTGGCCAAAGTCAACGAAGACACCAGTGCCAAGCTCATCAGAGGTCAGACCAATCTATCAACATCAAACTGGGCTTCAAAAATGCTTTTATAAGGCTGATAATTAGGGCTGGGCTTTAAAAAAAGTATGATTATTGCAACAGACAAGTGAGAAAACATCAGTAGAAAAGACACGTTTGATGGAATGTTGATCATTTCACTGAGCTCTGATCCAGAACTGCAAGGCATTCTGGGTGATGTAGGCAGAGGAAAGGGTTTAGGCTCTCAGCCTGTCATGGCTAGAGTTGTTTCCTGTCTCTGGTTGTCATTAGGTCTGGTACACAGTTTAATGGTTTTGTATGTGAGGTAGTATCAACAGCTTACTAACTTGGAATAATCCTTTGTTTGCTCTACAGTTCCTTTTCTATCTGTATGTTTGGATTCCATTTTAAAGGGATCCCCGATTAGTTGTAACATTAGACTTTATTTGATAAAAATATATTTTAACTGTAAAATGAAGACTGTAAAAATACTGTAAGCTGTTTAGTTTTTATCATTTTTAAACTAAAAGTTGAAAAATATATTGCACGGACGGGGCCATTTTATTTACACACAAAGCATTCTGGGTAAATGATGACGTGGATAGGTCCTCGGTGCGAGGCTGCAAGCGAGCTATATCCACCCTGAAGGTTAATCTTGGACAATATCTGATGATCGACTCTTTTAAATGAAACCAGAGAGCGTTGACAGAGAGGAGAAGGATGTAGAAACTACTCAGC